TCAGGAAGCAGGTATTGGATATAATTCTTCATTTAAAGAGTATATTTTTAATCAGACATGTATTTAATTATTTTTTGAGCAACTGATTTGGTTTTGATGACAGTCGGAGTGAGACATCGTGGTTACATGGTCCTTAATGAGTCACAGTATATAAGGCATGGACTTAAGGAAATAATATGTAAGAGACAAATGTTTGTTTCTCAAATAAAATGTGAATGAACAGAAAAGAACAAGTAAAAATAAACATGATTGCAACCCCGGAAGGATAAGAAGGTGTAGACAATGAACGTATGGATGGATAGTGTCAACTCTTGGAGTGAAAACCTTTTACTCTGTTTTGCAGTAGAGATCCTTGTAGAAGTGTTCATCATGCATCCAAACAACCACAGCTCTCAGACAAACATATATAGCTGTTATTTAGAGGTAGTAGTAAATCTGGCAGTCATGCTTCTGGACAGTGAGGAAGCCGGAGTACCCAGAGTGAACCCATGCATGCAGAGGGAGAACCTGCAGACTCCCCACAGAAAGACCCAGCACAGGAGAATGAGCAGCGTTAATTCAACACTTAAAGTCAATTTCCACTCTGAGCCAGTGAACATGTGTACAATGTAAAAGTTACACTGTTGTCAGTGTTACTCTAATTTTACTTTAATTAGAGTTAAAATGACTTATAGAATAAAACTTGACTAACACTCACAATTGTTAATATACTTTTACTCTATGGAGACAAATAACATCTGCAGAGTTATTTGAAAAGGACACTTTTAGTTTTTGAGCGTTATTCTAATTAACATCCAATAGTGTAAGACTTATATAGCACTGTTAATTAAATTTAATGCTATACTAAGCATTAATCTCTATAAAGTCAGTGTCAAAAAAATAATAACTATATACTGTTTTATTATAAACATATTTAACATTTATATTTATTGAAATTAATAATAACATAAAATATTTAAATAATTCTCAGATATACAGCTATGACTTAACATAAAACTTTTAAGGTAAAACAAGTATTTGTAAATCATGATGAATTTGTGTGAAAATCTTTAACCAGTTCTGCTTTTTTAAAACAAAAAATAAAAATAAAAAATCACATCATTAGTACCATTTGTAACAAAGGACAAATTTTCTTATTTATATAAACAAAATAAATTTTTGTCAGTGATATATAAAAAAACATCCATTTTCTTAGAAAGCCAAGGAAACATTTTTGACACAAATAACACAAAAGCATTTGAAAATCAGAACATTTAAAAATAGAAGGCAAAATGTGCCAGATTATGTCAAAAGGATGACCACAAATTTGTTTCTAAAAAATG